CCCCCGAACTCATCGCATAATAGCCTACTGTGCAAGGTTTTCTTCACTTTGCAACTTTTTTTTAGACGTTACGGCCTGCCGTGTCCGTTTTGTCCTAGCCAGCGCAGCATTTCGTGCATCGGAACGCTGAAAAGTGGAGACCCTTCTCCGGTTTTTGGCCATCGCGAAATGTAGGCCTCTCGCACTCATGTACCCAAAACCCACACGAAAACGCGATTTCACTATGAAATCTCTGGAAAATGCTCTTTCCTGATGTGGAAATTACTAGGAGTCATTCAAGGCCGTGTTACCATGTTTATGGGGTCCTTTGGGTCCAACATCCCTCTTATGTCCTGTGAAAAGCCGCAACTTGACCTGTCATGAGTAATCCCGTAAATATCCTGATCTTTAAAACAATCCAACGTGAAGTAAGCTCCCAACCCTACCAAGATTCAGCCGCCGACCTGCTCCGAAGGAAATCACCGTCCCCTCCGGTACATCTGATTCCGTAAACCCTCAAGCCTGCCCGATGTTAAACCTTAAGCACTGCAGTTTGGACATCCCTGAACCCTATAAACCTTGAACCTTAAACATGTCACTGTTTATAACGTTGGGGTTAGGCTTCAGGTTTTCGGCTTGATGTTGTGATTTTGGGGATGGCGGTTCGTTTGTCTAGGTCAAGGTCTACTTCTGGAAATTTAAAGCCGACTCCCCAACCTCAAACGTCGAAGCTTTGGCTACACTTGCGGTGGTGATTTCCCTATTACAGCCTATGTTTCCTGTAAAGGATCTCCCTCCAAAAGCTACACATTCTCACCTTCCTTTCTCTTCCTTTCTCTTCCTTTCTCTTCCTTTCCCTTCCCGTACCCTCCCTGACCATCCCTGATCTAAGCCTGCTTCGCCCTCACGTACGTTCCCTCATGACCCTGTAGTACTTTCCCTCCCCTTCATATTCCTATACAGCAACCCTAAACCACCCCCCCACCTCCTTTCTTGATCCTTCGCCTTGCTGTCTGCCGGTTTAGAACTGGATGTGCTTCCGATCCCTAAACCCTGAACCCCAACGCCCCAAAACGCTGTAGGACTTCAACCCCCAAATCCCAACACCTTAGCCATTACTCCGGCTTCGCTGCATCTCATCCCAAATCGTGAAAGGTTTCTCTGCTTAGCCACATCCGGCAGAGCTGTCAAGGTCGAGATCATGGCCACCGGATGTTTGTGAGACTCGCACCAGTGGCAGTGAACAGCGAAAGTGTAGAGATGGGTACCAGCTGCAAAGAAGCACCTGGCCACGCATGCGGAACCGGCCCAAGCAATTCCGCAAGCAGCAACGCCTGCTGAAAGTGTGATGGCGCTTCGGCTTTGTGCCTTGCTGCACTTCTCGCATGCACTCGGGCAAAAACGGCTGCCCTGAGCCTGGTGGTTGCGGCAAGCGGAGCAATGACGAGTTTCACGTCCAAGCGCAACTGCGGAACTTTTTGCTCACAGAGCAAAAGCTTCAGCATTGGTGCATGGCGGTAGATCGCGTTTGTACTCAAATAGTGCAAAGCATGCCGCGCGGCATCCGCAGGATCCAACGACCAGCTTTGCATGCGCTCGAATCCGAAGCACGAGTAAAAGCTCACACCAGCCGGAGTTGATAGAAGGATGATGGCCGCATACCCCTTGCAAGAAGCTTCCATGTCCAGCGCTGTCATAAGCTTGGCGCTTGCCCCAGATGCTTCGTAAGCTCCGGCTCCATCCACTTCCAGCACGCGGGCCCCAGTCGACAAAACGTGGGTCTTGCCCATAACGCCAGCCACTACTTTGCAAGCCGTGAGCACCATGGACGCGCGTTGCTCCATCTCCTCAGATGTGGACACTGCGTCCCCACGATCCCCAGCCAAGCGAGCGAGGATCAAACGCTGTGTCTCAAATTTCATGTTTGTCGTGGGCTCATTCTGGATGAACGCAGGGGCACGTTGAAAGGCATGCCACTTGACATTTGCAGGCCAGGTAGCTTGCATCAGCTCATCGGCATCATAATCTGCTGTTTGGAACACGTTCACGGCATTCCCTTCTCGCAAGAGGCGCTTCCCTAGAACATCAATGCCGCGCAGCTTCCGCCAGGCGCGTTGGATCACTGCTGCGACATGGTCTCTGTTGCCTACGCTGTCTCCATGAGCCTGGGTGTCATGAAGAGCTCGCTTTGCATCTTCCAGTGCTGCGGTCACGTTGGCATTCTCAAAACGCAAGTCGGCCACTGTCGTTTCTATTGCTAACACTTTCCTCTCCGATCTGCGAGCCTGTGCTGCAATGTCTGCATAATCTGACATTCTCGAACTGTCCTTTCCAGCTGCTCCACCTTCTCAGCTGAACGACGTGCACAGTGACGCTCGCGCTCTGCATCGCGCGCATCACGCTGAAGCATGTCCACATGGTTCCAATAAGCCTTGAACTTCAGATCGCGCGTATCCCACCCCACGGACTGATAAAGAGCATCACGAATGTTGCTCCAAACGTCATCCATTGGCTTCCTGAGCCTATGACGGAAGAAGGCTTCTAAGCTTGCGCATGCTAGTGAGCCAATGCTGTGAGATCCTTGTAAGTCACCCATTTGGGGGTATGGTTTTTGGGGGAGCCTAGCGTTTTACGAGGGTTTTGTTCGGGATATTCTGATCAACCCCAAACAGCAAAAACCTTAAGGTTTCGCGCTTCAAGCTCAAACGCTCGACCCCAATCCGACCCTAAACCTAACACACCCTCAGCGCTGGTCCTCGTCATGCTCCTCCTGGGCCGGCTCGAACGCCAACTCGTCCTGGACCTTCCAGCCCTCGATGGCCTGGAGATATACTGATATACTACACTACAGTTAAATAAGGGTTACAAGGAAAAAGTTCCGTAATTCTTTAAGCTCCTACATCAGGGCTTAGGAGCTTTGAAAATCGGGGGTAATCCTCACACGGCCGCGCCAGTTGGGGTGCCAAAGTCCCGGGCCTGGCCCATACAGTAACCCTTTGTTTGTAGAACTGAATTGTAATGATAGTAAGCCTAGTTTACACCAACAATCCCTTCCGCTGAGCCTAAACCGCCCTGCCCTAGACTTTTTCAACCAGATGAGGCGATGAGACCTCTGGCGTCATGCTACGGATCTCGGGCCAATCTAGAGGGTTAACCGACTGACTACCAGTAGCTGCTTAGAGATTTGAAAGAATCAGGCTGCTGCCGCCAGAGAATTTGTATCTTAGCATGCACCAGGGCGGATGTCCTTGTTTCAGGAACACTTAAATATGATGTGAGGACCAGCTTTGAGCTTCAAATACTTCGAGCCAGCTAAAGACATGAGGAAGTGTAGAGTCAGTGGTGCCCCTCTAGCCCTTCAGCGGAAAACCCAGCCCGCGAGACCCCACTCCGTGACACACTTCACAATCTCCTCGATCTGTACAAACACGCATATATACATAATACATAATACATAAATATATATATATAATATATACATACACGTATAGCTGGCAGATGCTAGGTATACAGGGACTCCACTACAGTCACTGCATGACACCACGTAGCTGATACTTCGGGAATTGTGGCAGTCTGGTGCCAGAGGGATGTGCAACATGCGTACGTCTAAACGATAGGATCAACGGCTCCTATTACCATATTAGTATATTATTATACCACTGTATTACTATATTAGCAATATATTACTATATTATCACCATATTACTATATATTCTTGGTCCGTGGTCATTGGGCATGTATGGTAATTATCTGGTTTCGAGCTCAACCCTCGAGGGATCCCATGCAAGGTCCTACTTGGGAGGATTTAGGGTCAAGGGTTATTCTCCATGATTCTACTCAAGCCCAAAACCCCTAAACCTAAACCCCACACCCTAGACCTCAAAACCCTCAAGCTCTAAACCCGAAAAATCTCAGCTGAGGAAGCTGACGTTGGGGTCCCGCGCAGGCTGGGAAATCCGATGCTATCAGAAGACTGCTTGGAGGTCCACCAGTAGGAAAAGTAGGGCTATATGAATGATATTAAATTACACAGGGGGATATAAACATAGCTACAGAGTTCTGAACAATTGCACATAGGGTTGTAGGCACCCCATATCTGCCAGCTGCTGCCTTGCGTTGTTTTCACCCATTATAGAATGAACCTCCAAGTGAGGATTGCGGCGCGCCAAAAAAGACTCCAGGCACGGAACTGACAAGAGCTCCGGGATAGGCCTTCAAATAAGGCTTCATCTGGGTCTAGTGTTTTAGGATTTAGGGTTTAGGTTTTGGGGTCTGGGGTTTGAGGTTGAGGCCTTAGAATTCAGTTCCCAAACATCATTCACATGCCTCCAAACA